TTGGTGTTGGACTCCTGCTGAAACATGAGATGGGCAGCAGTACTAACCCCACCCCCCTTTCCGGAATAATTTGTTTATACTCTGAGTGTTTGGAATCTTTATCTTGATTATATTTGCTTGGTGCTTGTATTACTCCCTAGTAATAGTAATAAATTTTGCTGATGATAGTCAGGTCTATCTAGGGTGTCATTATTTCTTCCAAGTTTATATTAGTGCCTTACCATAGATCTTAAGTTGTGGTAAATAGATTTTTACTGTTGGGTACAGCCAGATGCAGTGAAGGAGGAAGCCACTTCCTTACACTGTGCAATTTTGTCATGGACTGCAACGGGAAAGAGGGCCTTATTCATGCAGATATGTGTCTGACTAGACTACATGTGCATCCTGACCACCCATCCATGGTAGGTACCACTTGATTCCATAGCTAAGGAAGACACCCCCGTAATTTGAGCATCTGAAGCAGTTACCTCTATTGCAACGGGCTCTGCATGCACAAGATCCCACAGGGAAGAAATCCCACTGAAAAGATGCCCGTTATGAAGCAAATTCGCCAAAACAGCCCAGTTAATTCCTCTTACCACTAGAAGCATTATTGTGCACTAATTTTGCCCAGTACAAAAAAAAAAAGTACAGTGTTGGCTATGGTCAGTTGCAGTAAATGGCTCTTTGTGTTCTATGATGTGTTCCACAGCTATAGTTTGATAGATAGCCATTATGTAAGGACCTTGTTCATCAACTGCGATAAGACTAATGATAAGGACCACTGAGGGACTATGGGTTCTCTAGAACGGCTAAGGTTGTCAAGTCCCTTGAGGAATTGTTTTATTAAGTAATGGGGAAAAAATGGAACTGCCCCCAATCCCAGCATAAGAACATAAGAGACGCCAATGTTGGATCAGGCCAAAGGCCCATCCAGTCCAACACTCTGTGTCACACAGTGGCCAGAAATACCAGTGCCATAAGGAGGTCCACCCGTGGGGCCAGGACATTAGAAGCCTTCCCACTGTTGACCCCCCCTGTCTGCACAGTCAATCCCCTCATTTTTCTCCCACTGCTCCATCAAATGAGTGTGGAGTCTGGGGGATGGAATGTGGGGGTGGGAGGTTGCCTCTATAACAGAAAGTTTAAAAATGTTGGAGAAGTTTCATACTTGATAAACTGGCTGAAGGTTTCCATACAATTTTCTGTTCACAAAGAAGCTATTTTTAAAGGAAATGGTAGTTTGTTATTGGGTTATCTTAACCATTTTAAAATGTAAAAGGAAGGCAAGAGAACTTCTAGCAAGTACTGAGCGATGTGAGCTCTTCAGGCCTCTCTCCCCTTCTGTTTCTTTACAGTGAATTGGTGGTACAGTCATTCCCCCCAGTCAGCTCCTGAGGAAGAGGTGCTGAGTGTTCCTCTGTAGGTCTCCCAAAGACCGGTGCCTGCACATGGAGCAGGCGGCAGCGTTTGCCTGCCCCCCGCCATTTTCTTGGATGAAGCACAGGTGGGGCAAGCCAATCATGGCTCAGCGCGGGAGCACTGGCCAACCAAGGGTGAGCTCACTGGCCAGGTCTGGCAGCAGCCGCCCTCCATGCTCAGATTGGCCCAGCGCAAACTCCCCACCTGTCCACCCTCTTCTGCACCACGTGGGATTAGTTGGTTGCCGTTTTGCGGGGCTAAGCAGGATTTTTTTGGGCCTCTCTCAGAATTGGCCATGAGGGGGCCTTTTTTCGCCTGCTTCACATGGTCAAAGGGAGTGCAGTTTAAATACGCCTGGCAAAGCTGGTTAAGCCCTGATGGCGGGAAAAGCACGGGTTGAGGGGATTTGGAATTGGCAAGCACCCTGAGATATCAGCGATAGCAGGGGTCCTCATACTGGGTGTCTATGGGCTGTGCAGCCAGGGTGACTCAGTTGGGGGTCTAAAAAGTATTGAGCCTGATGCATAGCGAAGTGATTCAGCTCATACTTTATTTAGAGATGTAGAACAAGAGAGAAAATGCCGGCTCACAGACCGGCTTATATTTAGGAATCAAACCACATCCAAGCACACACCCTTCACCAGTGATAGGATATTTACAGTGGCCAAGAGTTCCATAGGTCTTACCTTGGATCCTAGCCATCTGATAGGTGCGGGCTAGGATCCGTTTGGTCTATTGTTCCTTAGAGCGAAGCTAGGGTTCTTCGCCTGACTGCGTGTGGGCTTGGCCTTGCACGCGGCCGAGCTCAGTATACAACAGGGCCTCTTCGGGGTGGGGGAGCATATGACAAGCCTTAAGGCTTTGCAGCCATGGACTGGAATGTGCCCTTCCTTCCATTCTACACACTGGCATGTGGGCCGTGATGAGTAAGGTCTGGAAGGATCCCGGACCTGGCTCGGAGCCAGGGTGGGTTTGCCCTATTGGTAGGCTTGCTATGCAGGCCCAAGGCAACCCGTGCTTTGTATTGGTTCAGATCAGATTACGGATAAATAAAATTCCCAGTTTAACCCATAACCTGTGTTGTGTTTTATTCAAGGGGTGGGCGGGGAATGGATGGGCAGAGGGCTACAACCCCATTGTTCAGCCATTTGAGAAACAGCTTTATTGCCATGTCCCCTTGAGCATAAGAGAGAAGCCTCAACCTGAGGCTTACATGGACCTTTTCTGAGTTCCAAATGTCGTCATCATCATCATCTCTACTAAAAGCCACATCTTGTGTGACGCTTGTGTGAAGCCAATCGATCCTACTTTTAAGGTGATAAAAGGACAGGTATGATACAGAAATGAGCTTTCATGCTAAAGACATCAAAGCTGGTATATGAATGCCCATTAGCAGAAAACTACCACATGTCTACGCTCAAGGTTACAGAAGCAGCCACAGAAGCAATTGTGAAAGTTATTTAGACTGGGAAATGGAACTCTAACATTCAGACTAGGTGATTTCATATTCAAGATGCTGAAACTTTAATCTGTGGCGTTATTCCTAAACGGAACAAACCAAGGAGATGTTCCTCAGTCACTACTGAACATGCTAGATTATTGCACATGCATATGGTAAAAACCCAGCTGCATTAACAACCAGGTAACCTCTGCTGGGCTGCTTTGAAAACTTACCAATATACATCTACTGGCAGCTAGAAATGATTCGTCTCTGTGCTATAACTTTACTGAATTAATCACTCTCTCTCTCTCTCTCTCAACTATTGTGCTCATAAACAAATTAGTTCAGAACATCAATTTGCCATAATCATCAAGCATTTTGAAGTTGGAACCCTGGATATCCACCTGTGGAAACAGTGTAGCATTCTCAAGTTTCCCTCTCTGGGCTTGCTGTCTGGTCAACACCCTAGGGAAGCAAGTGCAGAATGTATAGCCTAGGAGAGCCCAGCATCTTTGGAGTAGGAAGAGCCACTGACTGGATCCTCCTCTTCCAGCATGCTGCATATTCTTTCACAAGCATGTCCCACTCATGTCACTTACCCCCAAGTATAAGCACCCTTTGGCTGATTCACCTGCTATTCTGGTAGATTAATACAGAGATGTAATATATTTTGATGTAGAATCATAGAATCACAGAGTTGGGGGGGGCTATACAGGCCATCTAGTCCAACCCCCTATTCAATGCAGGATCAGCCTACAGCATCCCTGAAAAGTGTATGTCCAGCTGCTGCTTAAAGACTGCCGGTAAGAACTGTGTCTGTGCATTAAAGTATTCACATGATATAATGTGCACATTCCTCAAAATTGATTGTAGTGGCAGGATTATTGGCTCAGCAAATCCACCTAATTTAGGAGTGAAGGAAATCTTCAACTTTGTCCACTCATGGGAGCAAAGTAACATAGCAAGGCTCATAGTCATGAAAAATTAGCCTACTGAAGCATCAGATTGCACTGGCATAATTTATCTGATAATTTCCCCTATTTTGACCAGCCCTCTCTAAAAACAGTTCGAAAGTTGTTAGTTGTCAGATCCAGAAAACCAGGAATGAGACTCAACAGTTCTCAGCAAGAATGAGAAGCAACAGTTTTAGACAGACTTAGAGACTAATAACTCTCAGCCAGAGTTACAGCAACAAAGAGTTACGCAGAGTTGCGCAGACCTCTGTGTAGAAACTGGTCTAAATTTAGTAGAAACAAGAGCGTGGCTAATGATGATTAAGTTCTGGTTGCGTTCGCATTATTACGTAGCCACTGGGAGTTTCATTCAGCAAAAAATGCTCACTGAGCCCAATATCTAACTGGTCAGCTTATATTGAGAGAAAAAATCCTGGCATTTGACATTTCCCTAGATTCACTGGCCATGCTTCCTTCCACATGTGTGTACCTGTTAATCAATCACAGAATCCTTGACATTGAAGCGCAAAAGCTTTATAGTTTAGCTAATAAGTCCTGTTCCCCTCTTAGTTTTGAAGTTCCTCTTACTACAGGTTGGATGGCTTCATACTTATCCCTCTTACAAGTTGCCCAAACTCGGACAGCCTTCTCCCTGGCAAGATTCAATGCTATGCCATCAGCAGTCTTATAGGATAGGTTTAATAAGACTGCATTCTTGCCTAGGACCTGTCTCTGTAATTCCGGCTGTGTAGAATCGATGTCACATATTCTCATTCATTGTTACTTATATGCAGACCTGCATGCTAAACATTTAAACTTGTTTTTAGCTGGAATGTCAGGCCTTTCTGATCATATTAAGGTTTATCATCTTCTGAACGATTGCTTACCTGAAGTTACTGAGAAGGTACATTCATCTGATGTTAACATGTTTTTACAGTCCAAAATAAGAGTCCATCAGGAAATGTCTTAATTTTCTTTTTTAAATGCCACATAAATTTTTATACAGTTGGTTTTATACCCCTCTTTGTTCAACTGCTGTTTGTAGTATCTGTACATGCTCCAGAGGAAACTAATTTATGCAGAAGCCAAATCGCTCACTCACAACTTTAATGGTAGTACCTCACAAAGTAGAATTTTTGCTCACAAGATTCCACAGCTTAGAGGGAGCATTGGGTGGGGGTGCAACTGCAGCCATGGGGGACTTAGGCATGGAAGGTGCGAGTGTAGATGCTTCACAGCTGCTGCTTGCAAATGCATCTGCTTTCGCAGCAGCAACAACAGCTACATGGAGAATTGTCCCTGTGTGCATTCAGACTTATACTAGAATTAACACTACAGTTCCCCTGGAGAACATGGATGCTTTGGAAAGTTCCCTCCCCTTCCCAAACTCCACCTTCCCAGGCACTGTCCCCAATTCTCCAGGAATTTCCTAACCCAGAGTTATCAACCCTAACAGGGATATGCACTAGATCATCAACAAAGAGAGGGGAAAAATCAGGATGAACTGAATATGCATAACGGTGTGGTTATGACAAATATGAAGAGTTAACAATGAGAACAAAGAGTTAACATTAATAACATTCAGTAACCGTCATTACCATTTGGGTCTCTCAGTTCTACTGATGCTTGATTTGAAGGGGCACCAACAGACCACTTTACAGAGGTTTTTTGCAATCTCAGGCTCTCTGCACTTGGAAGACTAAAAACAGGCATCCCAGCAACACTGCAGTCTACACTCTTAGACTTCAACCTGGGTATTTATTTCTCCAGTGTCTTGGAGCAATGCGAAGAATGCAATGTTGTTTTTGAGACTCACTGTTCAAATGTTCCCTGTAAGCCGTGGAGTCTTGTGAGCAAAAATTCTACTTTGTGAGCTACTGGCATTAAAGTTGTGAGCGAGTGATTGGGCTGCTGCATAAATTAGTTTGCTCTGAAGCCATCCTTCCTGAGCTAAGACAAAAATGTGTGAGCTGGAGGCTAAAAAACTGTGAGCTAGCTCACACTAACTCAGCTTAGAGGGAACACTGCACTGTTCCAAATAAGAGAAGATTTGTATAACTAAAGCTGGAAAAAGATCTAGGATGCTGAACGTTCTCTACAAATGACATTACTCTGTGCACAACAGACAATAGTCTCTTATGAAAAGAATTCATGAATTATGCATTACTTTCAGCTAAAGGACATATGCAAGCAAGTGACATCCACATATTGGGATGAATCAAACCCACATGCAATGGGGCACAGCAGTAGATCTCAGATCCATGTGTTTCACCAATACATGAAGGAAGGCATGTGAGACCCAGGGGATTTTGCTGACAAAGCAAGCATGATTTGCCAGATCTCACTGCTTATCACACCAGTCATTAGGATCACCGTAGTCAGACAACACATTTAGCCCCCTCCACCCTCAGTAGAGGACTTTGCTTTTGCTCATGTGAGTGAGTAGCTGCCATACATTTCTATGGGGAATAATAAAATGCAGCACATTGTCAACTATGTTGTCGTGTGTATTACCTGTGACACAATGTGGTCAGCCTCTGCTGGGAGAAAATCCGAAGGGAGTGTGTGTGTGGACAACGCTTAACTTTGAATCCAACAACAGGAGAGAGCTAAGGACATAGCTTTTGTCTCAGGAGCTGCCTTCTCACCCCTGTGATTTGTATCAACCTGTCTGGAAATGGATATATTGATCCCTGAAAACTAACAAAAATTTTCTGTAATATTCATCTGATGTTAACATGTTCATTTACCTTCACTCTCTGTTAATCCTACTCCTGATGGCTTCATTGCATCTTGTCCATTCTGGTTCATCTTTCCTCTGTTGAAAAATACAATTGAGGATCCTTTAACAAAGCTCTCTACTGATAATGCTGTGACACAGAGATATGTCAATAAACAAAAATTTTCCAGGGTGAATCAAGAGAAGCTCATTCGTTGACCTTCACAACCATGGGAGTCATCTTGGACTGCAGGGGCACCAAATTTCAGCTCACCACTGGCTGACCTGTGTGCAAAATTAGGCCATTCACAGCCATGATGTTTGTGTGTGGAGTCTCCACATAGTTGGGTGTGTGTGTGTGTGTACATATGCAAGAAAAAAATGACTTGGTAAATTAAACCCCCCTCGAAAACTCAACATGCACCCTAAGGAATATAATGTCAGGGCTGAGTGGCAGCCATGGGAGGTCCCTAGTACACTTTTATTTATTTATTTATTTGATTTATACCCCACCCTACCCTGCAACCAGGCTCAGGGAGACTCACAGCATATAAATATAACAATTTAAAATATTAAAACATAATACAGTAAAAATCTTTTTTTTGGTAAAAATGCAGTTAAAAATATAGTGAACATTAAAATTTCTGCCTCAGGAAACATAGATGGGACTGAGGCTGACCTATTCTCAGCTATGACAAGCTCAAAGAAGTCCACAACCATTTCCTCTGGGTAGCCACTTCCTTGATCTGCCATGGAAGTACATTATTGATTCTGTTACCTTCATTACCTCAGGGTGTGTAAAGAAAAGCAGAGGACCCTGATCTAAATATTTGGAAGTATTTATCCTCCAATGCTCTCCAAAACTTATTATATTATTAAGGATTAATGCAACTTATTACATACTTAAGTTATGGAATCATACTGACATTAAAATTATCTTTTTACTTCAGGGAGTAATTTCTTCTACAGGCTAAACAATACACCAATTTTTAATCATACGAAATCTTGCAGGCCAAACTGATTCTTCCAGAAGACCTACAAAAGGAAATATTAACAAATAAAACAAAAAACATGAGGCTTCCAGTTTTTGGCGACTCGCAAGTGGGTGTGCTCCATCGTTGCTCTGATGTGAGCGACCCGCAAACGTGCCGATGGGGAGGGGTCCGAGTTGATCTTGGACCCCCGTGACCCTTTGTAGGAGGGTTGCAGCCTGGGGCGTGAGAGGTACCTCTCCCAAGGCAGAATGCCGAGGAATTGAGGCGCCTCTTTGCCCCGATAGGTCCTCGCGGCACGGAGCCAGCAATGGCACCTAGACGCGCACACCGGACTGAGCGTGCAAGAGATCCGCCAGGACCGATCTTCCCTACTGCTTAAACAAACGCAAGTAAGAATGGGAGTAAACTTACCATTTAGTGAGCTGCCATCTGAACATCGAGAGTAAAGCCACCCCAAAGCCCCAAATAAGCAGAAGGGGGGGGAATCCCCACATCCAAAGAACTGAGTTAAAAGCGGGAGGTGGGGACAGCTTGAAAAGAGCGGATGCTGATGGACTGCAGTGCGGATTAGCTAGAAAGCGATATTTTCAGACTTTAAGAGACTTTAAGAGACTTTTCAAAACTTCTTACTAACTATAAACAATGACGCAGCACTCGGAGAAAATGGCAGCGAAAGCGAAACTTACAGGAGCAGCCAGCACATTGTCTCCGGCTTTTAAACTGGAAGCAACTATAGACTTCTCCAAAATGATTGCTGAAGCCTTGCACCCTCTAGTGGACCAGATGACCATACTTAACCAGAAATTTGGCACGTTGCACAAGGAACTCCAAGAAACTTCAGCAGAAACAGAGAAGATAACCAAGAAGCTGAAGAAAGTTGATCTTAAGTCCAAGGAGTTTGGACAAATATTGGAGGTGGTGGAAAAGGATAAAATCTCTGAGAATCATCAACTGTTACTTCTCCAAATGGACAAATCAGCATATGAGATTTAAGAACATTCCGGAGCAGAAAGGAGAGGACCTGAAGGAGATTTTAAGTAAGGACCTGGCCCCAGTGGTAGGCTTAACAGCGGAAGTGTTACAAAGCGACATGGATATGATATATCGTACATATCCAGAATATATAAAGAAAAATAAGCTTCCCGGGGAAATATTTGTCAAATTCTCAAAAAGGTCAACAAGAGACTTGATTCTGAAAGTGACAAGAGGAAATGTTTTGGAAATCCAAGGAGAACAAGTCAAAACCTTAAAAGACATTCCATTTGAGATCAGAAAAAGAAGAAGACAATACAGAGACTTGGCATTTTTTTTTGCAAAAGCATAACACCCCTTACAGATGGATTACACCGCAAGTTATTATTTTCAACTTCAACAAGAAGAAAGAAAAGATTGACTCTGTTCTTAAAGCAAAAAAATTTGTTTGAGCAACAACAATAAGATAAAGATGGACCTGAGAAATTGGAGGACGATAAACATGCAGAAAAAGAAGACGACGAAAATGAAGAAAGTTCTAAGAACTCCTCGTCGGCTGAATCCTTAGACTCTGAAGCAGAATTAGGGCCTAAGCCTCCTAAAAATAAAAGGGAGTTTGAAAAGAAATGTAAAGGAAGAAAATAAGTATTATAATGTAACTCTGACTGTCTGATACCTATTATTAATCAATAACTTTAAGCTAAGAAGCATACACTTTAGTCAAATCTGTTTTTAAATGCTTGTTTTATTCTCTACAATTTTATTGCAATAACTCTCATGTATTACCGTTTTGATATTAGGGAAACATCGATTAATTCAAAATATGTATTAATGATCTCTTGTTACTCATAGTTGTAGGTTGTTCTCTTCCCCTGACCCCATAGAGGTTTAGTTTAGAAAATGCAATAAAAAATCTTTTTAAAAAATTAAGATAGATGGCTTCTTTTAACCTCCTGCTGCCATATGTTAATGCTGCTCTGAACACTCTATTGGAGGTGTCGAACTCATTTGTTACAAGGGCCAGATCTGACATAAATGTCACTTTGTCAGGCTGGGCCATGTGTGCCATAAAATGTAACACAAGGTGCCGGAGATATAAACTTTATAAAGAAGATTTCAGATGTCGAATGGCAATAGTAGGCGTGATTGGATTAGGTGTGATATGCAAACAGGTAGAGATATCAGCATTGGTAATGAGAAAGGAAACTTAGGTCTCAGTTTGGTACCGGAGGATGCAAAGAATAAATGGAAACGAGTCTGAAGAAGTGAGCAATAACTCACAAAAGCACATATCCTACCACAATTCTGTTAGTCTTTAAAGATGCTACTGGACTCTTTCTACTACTATTAGAAATCACTCCCTTCCTGGTGTGCTCTCTCTTGGTCTTTCCCTCCCCTCCCCTCCCCTTCCCTCTCTCTGTCGCTCTCTCTGTGAAGAAGTGTGTTCGCCCACAAAAGCTTATACCTGGAATAAAACGTTTTTGGTCTTAAACACAGGACTGTCTCTCTCTCTCTGTCTCTCTCTGTCATGTTCCCTCTGGCTCTTGCCCTCCCTCTGTCTCTAAAGAAGAAAAAGTGTGCTTGCACACAAAAGCTTATACTTGGAATAAAACGTTGCTGGTCTTCTTAAAAGTCCCACGAGATACCATTTCCCCCGATCTCTGGCTCTT